GTTGCGCCCGCACCTCGCTCAGCCAGTGAGCGGCCGGTCTGTATGTGGAATCCGAACCCTCGGCGGGAGCGCCACCACGCTCCCAAGCGGCACACTGTAGCAGTGCGCCACCGGGCCGGCCCTCTGTCTCATTTTTGAAGGAGAATTTTGCCAGAATTAGATTCTTGGTTGATAGTCTTTTTCTTTTTCTTTTTTCCTTTCAGCACTTTGAATATTTCATTACACTGCCTTGTGGCTTTCATAGTTTCTGATGGAGAACACCTTTAAATCTCACCCAGGAAGTTTACAACTCTGCCTTAGCCTTCTCTTCTTTCTTGTGTAGACCCTGAAAGTCAGCCTGAAGTGAGAGGTTGGGTCTTTATTCTGCATGCACACTTCCATGGATGTGCATGTGGCCTTCTGTATTCCCCAAAAATTTCAGAGAATTTCAGACTTGTTCTTTTCCAGAGCATCATGTCCCAGCCCAAGCTTTTGGTTGGTGTTGTTTCCTCCATCTCTTATTCACTGTCCCATGTAGCAAGGACTAGTACATTTGCCTGTACATGTTTTCTACAATATTTTTTCCTTGGGTAATTATTTTAGTATTGCTAGAGTTCTGAATTAAGAGAGAGATAAAGCAAGCCCTTTGAGTTGATCCTCCAGGTAGCCACCAGACAGGTCAGAACAAACAACCACAATTCTTTGTGAATAAGGACTTCCTTCCTTTTGCTTCCTGTGTTACTGCTGCATGTATAGGTAATGTGGACTGTGTTTTTCAGTGCCAGTGCTGAGTTGGGGAATGGGGGATGCAATGAGATGAAAGCATCAGATAGCTCACTGTTCTTACTGTCATTCTTTCAGTATTAAACTTTGATATTTAATATAACTAAATATATAAATAATAAATTAAAATTTTATTTATTTAATTTCATTTATCATGTAATTTTATTTCAATTTTATTTTATTTATATAATAAATAATAATTAAACCAGTATTTAATATAAATATAGTTCTGGTTTTAAGTCTGTCATCTTGCTCTTTGTTTTCTAGTTGTTCTCTTGTTTACTTCTTTCTTCTTTTCTTGACTTCATTTGGATTGATTCCATTCCATCTCCACAATTCCATTATCATGATTTTATTCCATCTCCACCATTGCCTTTATTAGCGCTACCTTTTTGTTTTATGGCTTTATTTTTTCCAAGGTTTAGAGTTTATTTATCACAGCTGCCTTTAAATTTTTATAGCATGTCATACATCAGATAAGAACCTCATAGCAGTATACTTCACATTTTCCTCCTCCTGTTCTTGGTCTATTGATGTCATATGTTCTACTTTTTTTTTTCCTTTTTTTTGTCTTTTTTTCGTGTCCGGCAACGGATCGCAACCCTCAGTGTCGCGCCCGCACCGGACAGGACCGGCAACGGGATCGCAACCCTCGGTGCTGCTCCCACACCTTGCTCAGCCAGTGAGCGGGAACCGGTCTGTATGTGGGATCCGAACCCTTGGCGGGAGCGCCACCGCGCTCCTAAGCGGCGCACTGTAGCAGTGCGCCACCGGGCCGGCCCCTATGTTCTACTTTTATATATGTTATTGAACCCTAAAATATGTTATTTTTGCTTTAAGCAGTTAATTCTTTAATCTCTTTAGAAGATATTGATTTTCTTTTCCTTTATTTTTTCTTTCTTTCTTCTGTTTTAAAAATTCACCCATATCGGCCGGCCCGGTGGCGCACTGCTACAGTGCGCCGCTTGGGAGTGCGGCGGCGCTCCCGCTGAGGGTTTGGATCCCACATACAGACTGGCCGCTCACTGGCTGAGCGAGGTTACGGGTGCAACACTGAGGGTTGTGATCCCATTGCCGGTCCCGGTCCGGTATGGGCACGACACTGAGGGTTGCCATCCGTTGACGGTTACGAAAAAAGACAAAAAGGGGGAAAAAAAAAATTCACCCATATATTTATCATTCCCAGCACTCTTCCCATTTCTTTGTGTAGATCCACAAAGATTTTCATCTGGTATCATGTTTGTTTAACCTGAATAATTTTCTTTAACTTTTTTCTAGTGGACATATGTCAGTGAGGCATTCTTCCTAACTTTTAGTCATAGAAGGTTTTTTTTTACCTATATTAAAAGAAAAAAAATTTTCTTTTTTATGTTTCCAAAGGAGTGGAAATCGTCATGTCAAAGGGATACCTGCACTCCCATGTTTATCACAGCTTTGTTTATAGTAGCCAAGATTTGGAACCAACTTAATTGTCCACCAAGGACAATGAGATTAAGAAATTGTGGTATATAGATACACAGTGGAATACTACTAAGCCATAAAAATAATGAAATTCTGCCATTTACAGCAACATGGTTGAGCTTGGAGAAAATTACGTTAAGTGAAATAAGTCAGGTACAAAAAGAGAAATACTGCATGTTCTCACTCATAAGTGAAAACTAAAAATAAACAAAGGAATGTAAGTTGAACTTTCAGAAGAAGAGAGAGGAACTGTTGTTACTAGAGATGGGAAAAGAGAAAGGGGAGGTGGGATAGAAAGAAGTTCGTTAATGTACACAAAACAACTAGATAGGAAAAATAAGTTCTGTTGGTATTCAGTTGAGCTAGATGTCTATAATTAATATATTGCATGTTATCAAATGGTAGAAGATAGGAGATTGAATGTCCTCATCACAAAAAAATGATCAAGTTTTGTAATGATGGATAGGCTGATTACCCTGATTTAAACATCACACGTTGTGTGCATGCATTGAAATGTAACTCTGTACCCCACAAATTTATAATCAATGTGTTTCAAGAAAAAACGACTAAAATGCTGAGGAGAAAAGGAAAAAAACTATTTTCTTTGAATTTTGGATTCTAGGTTGAAAGTTTTTCTTTTATCTTTCAGCATTTCAATAATATTATTTCCTTATTTTCTGTTATGCGTATTTTCTTATGAGAAGTCTACTTTCATTTTCTTCTTTGTTTCTTTCTTATGTGATGTTTTTTCCTACCCTCTGCCTACTTTTAAGATTTTTCTCTTTAACACTGGTTTTCAGCAATTTGATTGTACAATAGTCCCTCTTTATTTGCAGTTTCACTTTCCAAGGTTTCGGTTACCTGTGGTCAACCACAGTCTGGAAATATTAAATGAAAAATTCCAGAGGAAGACAATTTATAAGTTTCAAATTGATGCTGTTCTGTGCATCATGATGAAATTGCATGCTCCCTCACCCTGTCCTGCCCAGGACCTGAATCATCCCTTTGTCCAGCATATCCATGCTGTGTATGCTACCCACTTATGAGTTACTTAGCATCCAGCTCAGTTAGTAAATTGACTGTCACTGTGTTGCAGTACTTGTGTTCAGGTAACCCTTATTTTACTTAATGACTGCAAAGCACAAGAATAGTGATGTTGACATGTTGTTATAATTGTTCTATCTTATTATTAGTTACTGTTGTTAAATCTCTTACTGTGCCTAATTTATAAATTAAACTTTATCATAGGTATGCATGTATAGGAAAAACATATAGGGTTCAGTAGTATACATGGTTTCAGACATCCATTAGGGGTCTTGGGATGTATCCCCTTCAGATATGGGGGACTACTGTAATGTGTCGTGGTGTGTTTTAAAATCTCTTTTGTTTGGGGTTTGTTGAACTTCTTAGATATTTGGGTTTATAGGCTTCTTCAAATTTATAAAAATTTTAGACATTCTTTCCTTAAATATATTTTCTGATCCCCTGCTACCTGTGCGTACACCCCCTTACTGTCCCCCGCCATTTCTCTCTTGTCTTCTTGGACTCCAATTATGCCTATTTGAGATTGCTTGATATTGTCCCATAGCTCATTAAGGCTTTGTCCAATTACTCTAGCCTTCTTTCTTTCCTGGTTCTCGATTTCCTGAGACCTCCTAAGAGACTTAAGAAATGCATCTCAGAATTGCCAGTCAGGAGAAGAAAAGGGGGAAATATTTATCTCTACATTTCCAGGTTCTGCATACATGAATGCAAAGTAGTTTCTAGTGGTGTCTTACACTTCAGTGTGCCTTAGGCAATGCCAGTGAAAGTCTGCATCAAATTGGTGTCTATTGCACTGGCTAGAATAAGAGATGGGGAAGGAGGCTTTAAAGGTGATATACAAGAGATGTCCAAAACTGTATGTGGATATATGGTTGGGAAAGTGAAAATTGGTGGAAATTTGTGGGGTTGAGGAAAGAGTGGGGCGACTGAGTCTACTGCAGTAACAACCTAATATCTTTTTCATATTTCTTATTTTTTTGTTCTACTTTATCTTGTATGTTATAAACATATTTAAATGTTTCCTTTGTTATTTGGAAAACTTGATTATGTGAGATACTTCAGTCATGGAACCAGATGAATAAAGCATTAATCAATTAGCTATTTCAGGGAAGAAGTTTAAAAGTAATTTTCTGTGCACTGTTAAATAGGGATCTGAGTATAATGTAAATACTTCACAAGTACTTTTGAGAGGAAATATAGGATAGAAGGCTCTGGATCAGATTGCCTGGATTTAAATTCCAATTTTTCTACTTATTAGTATTATAACATTTGGTACCTTAATTTATCTATGTATGTCTTGATTTTCCCATTTAAAAAATAACTGTAATGATAGTACCTCCCTCATAGAATTATTATGACAGGCTTCAATGAGCTTACAGATACAATACATTTAGAACAGTGATGCAGATCTGCTAGTAAATCCTCTATAAGTGTTAACTGGTATTATTTTCAGTGTTGTTTTTGATGATTGACTTGGTTGAAAAAATTATAATTCCTTGAATAGAATATATGTTTATGGACATTATTCTAGTTTATATTTTTATATTTTGTTATTATTGTAAGAGTTTCTGAAATGGTAAAACTTATTTAAAGTTAGAATTGCCTATTTGAGTGAAATTTAATTGTAAAATATTTTGAATGTATACCATTTCTTCTCTTGCAACCTAATTCCTTAAGTATGTTGTTGTAAATGCTATTTACTGTATTGTTGTTATTTTAATTTTTTAATGCAGGAACAAAAGATCTCAAATTGCTATAACTGAAGGGATATTTGAGCTTCCAAATCTCACAATTCAAGCTACAAGAGCACAGACACTTCTGCTGCAAGCAATATATCAAAGTTGGTCTCATATTGGAAATGTCAGTTCTTCAACAGTGAATGAAGCTTTGATGAATGAAGTCTTCCAGCCTGTAGGTAAGAACACAATCTTCTTGGCAAGTATACAGAAGATTCGTATTATAGGTGACTAATATTTTATCATTCAAATCCATGTGTCTAGCATGCTCAACTTAAATTGCAATATATTTCTACAAAAGTGAGTATTTATAACTTATGTTTCAAATCCAGGTTATGAGTTAAATGCTCCAGTTTTGTTTCTTGGCATTAGTTTTTGGATATGTTTTACAATTGCAAGAGATTTTTACCAACTTCTTGTATAATATACTGTTTGGCCTCACATGAATAACTTTTGAGAGGATCAATGTATATGTTTGAAATGATGACCAAATCAACTATAAATACAGTATGTTTGATTATGCCAGTAAAGTGAAATAAAATTCTTGCTCATAATACTTGGTATGACTTGCTAAGCAAATTTTGCTTTTTATGTGAAAAACACTAATCTTACACTGTGAATGGGTTAATAAATTACTAAAAATAAAAATTTCTGCTTTGATGTCAGTATGCAACATTATCTTCATCTTGTCACACAGTTTGCATGTAAACAAAAAACATATAGAAAACTTGCTTTTTTTATTTGTTTCTGTTCAAAATATAAACATGTTACTGTTTTCAGTAACACAAAGCAGTTTTTAAAGAAGGTTGTATATTTAAGTACAGTCATGCTTAAAATAATAGTTTGTATCTTTTATTTCATTTATCTAGCTTTTTTTATATGATACTTTTGAAGGTTTTAATCTCAGATCTTACTATGGTGAATATATTATAAATTCTACAATAATGCATTATAATTAGAGTCTTCTTATTTGATCTAGCCAGTGACTAACAAAAAAATATAGTTGTTTTGCTGCCAGGTTTTAGGATTCTATAAAGAATGACAAGATAAATGTTGCATTGGCATAGAGGTTCTTCACTTGGGGCTTATTAATAGGCTTTGAGTTCTCTGCATCCCCTGAAATAGCACGCAAATTTTAGTGTGTCTATAAGTGCTCACAATCATACATTTATATTTTCATTTTGAATTCTATTCTTTTATTAAATGTAGTGAGTTCTTCAGTCTTTTGACTCATCTGTGTTTACTTATTTTAACATAGTTATGACTAGCTTTCTTTTAGTTGCTATTTGCCTGTACTTTTTCTTCCATTCTTTTACTTAAAACCTGTCTTTATGCTTAGGTATATGTTTTATGTCTTGGAAACAGCATATAATTGGATATTTTTAATAAAGTTTTATAATCTGCTTTTTAGCTTATAAATTCAGTCCATTTATATTAGTACGATTATTGTTTTTTGACCTTTCTAACATCTTATTTTTTTGTTTTCTTTTATGCTATGCTGCTTAAAAAAATGCTATTATTTCTTCATTTTGCTCTTTGTGCTTGTTTGGAATTTGCATATTCCTATTGAATTGTTAAAATAAAAAATAACTTATGCTGCTTTGGAAAACAGTTTGGTAGTTTTTCAAAAGTTTATATTGAAAAAGCATACCCCCCCGACATTTTAGAAAATATAAGTGATATGCTATTAGAAAAAGATATGACTAACATATAGATTAGATACATGAACAAATACTTAGACTATTTTTACTGTTCAGATAATTACTGTAATAAAATCTATTAGCTTTAATATACGTGGCTATATAATTTTATTTTTTATAGAAATCTTGAAAGTATTTTTTGAAAAATATTTTATGGGCATTAATGTATTGGTCAATAAATGTTTCAAAATTTACATAATTTTGATTATCTGTAGTATAATTTTCAAATTCAAAAGGGTCTTGATTTGGACAGGAAACTTAAATAGTTACAAAATTATATGCTTATATATATATACTTAATACCACAGTACACATGGAAACCTGTAATAAGATTGTTCTAGGTTTCTGTTGCTGTGTATCAGATTACCACAAACTAAGCAGATTAAAACAATGCATTTTCTTTTTTTTTTTTTTTTTTGTGTCCTTTTTGAGACTGGCCACACCGCACTCAGCCAGTGAGCGCTGTGAGCGCACCGGTCATCCCTATATAGGATCCGAACCCGCGGTGGGAGTGCTGCTGCACTCCCAGCGCCGCACTCTCCCAAGTGCGCCATGGGCTCGGCCCAAACAATGCATATTTTAAAAATTAATGTTTTAATTGTTTTTAATTGAGAAATTGTAATTGTATATGCTTACAGGATACAATGTGATGTTTTATATATGTATATATAATATGGAATGATTAAAGTCTATTAACATCTATCTCATCATTTTTTGTGGAGATATTAGAAATTTACTCTTTTAGCAATTTTGAAATATACAATAGTTATTATTAGCTATGGGCATCACACTGGGCAGTAGATCTCAAAAACGACTCCTTCTTTCTAACTGAAACTTTGTACCCTTTGAACAGTATATCTATTACCTCCCCTCCTCAGCCTGGTTCTACTCTTCCCCAGCCACTGATAACCAGTATTCTACTCTTTATTTCTGTGAGATCAACTTCTTTCGGTTCTACATGAGTGAGATCTTTCTGTACCTGGCTAATTTTGCTTAATATAGTGTCCTTCAGGCTCATCCATGTTACCGAGAATGACAGAGTTTCTTTTTTAATGGCTGAATAGTATTCCACTGTGTGTATATATCATTATTTCCTTTATCTATTTCATCTGTTGATGGATACTTAGGTTGATTCCATCTCTTGGCTATTGTGAATAATGTTACAATAGACATGATAGTGCAGATATCTCTTTGACAAGATTCCATTTCCTTTGTATATATACCCATAAGTGGGATTGCTGGATAATGTAGTGGTTCTACTTTTAGTATTTTGAGGAACTGCCATACCGTTTTCCATATTGGCAGTGCTAAGAGTGTACAAAGTGTTCTCTTTTGTCCATATCCTTGCCAACACATATCTTTCATCTTTTTGATAGTAGCCATTCTAACAGGTATATGGTGACATCTCATTGTGGACTTAATTTACATTTCCCAAGTGATTAATGATGCATTTTTTTCGTGAATCTGTTGGCTATTTGTATGTCTTCTTTTGAGAAATATCTATTTAGGTTATTTGCCCATTTCTAAATAGAATTATTTGTGTTTTTGCTATAGAGTTTTTTGAGTTCATTTTATATTCGTGTTTTGTGTATTATCCTTTGTCAGATATATAGTTTGCAACTATTTTCTCTCACTTTCTATGTTGTTTCTTCACTCTGTTCTTTGCTTTGCTGTGCAGAGTCTGCATTTTAGTTTTATGCAGTCCTGTTTGTCTGTTAATACTCTTGTTTCCTATGCTTTTCCTAAATATACTACATTCTCTTCCACATTCATGCCTTTGTCCAGGTTTACCCTCCTCCACCATGTCAGAAATGTTTTACCGTGGCTTCTTTCCTCTTTTCCATTCCTTCTGTCCAATCTTTTTTAAAAAACAGCTTTATTGAGATACAATTCTCCTACCATACAATTCACCCTTTTCCAGAACATATTTCAGTGGCTTTTGGTATATTCACAGAGTTGTGAATCCATTCCTACAATCAGTTTTAGAATGTTTTCATTATCCCCCAAAGTCCTGCATTCCTTAGTGAGCACTCTAAGCCTCTCATATCCCCATTCTTAGGCAAACACTAATCTACTCTTTGTCTCTATGGATTTGCCTATTCTGAACATTTCTTATAAATAATATAAAATGCAGTTTTCTTTTGACTGAATTCTTTCACTTAGCATACTGTTTCAAAGTGTGCACATATTGTAGCACGTGTCAGTATTTCATTGCTTTTTATTGCTGAAAAGTCTTCTGTTGTGTATATATACAGCATTTTGTTTTGTCTATTTATTAGTTGAGGGACATTTGGGTTATTTCTACTTTTGACTCTTATGAGTAATGTTCCTATGAACATTTGTTTACAAGTTTTTTTGTGAACATATGCTTTTGTTTGTCTTTGGTATATACCTAGGAGTAGAATTTCTGGGTCATGTGGTAACTTTAACCTTTTGAGGAACTGCCAGAGTATTTTTCAAAGCAGCTGCACCACTGTGCATTTCTACTGGCAGTGTTTGATGGTTCCAGTTTCTCTACGTCCTTGCCATATTGTTATTTGTCTTTTTGGTTCTAGCCATTATTGGGGGTGTGAAGTGCTGTCTTTATGGTTTTGATTTTCATTTTCCTCATCTTTATATATATTTCTTGACTAATTATATGTCTTCCATGAGGAAATGTCTGTTCAAGTCCTTTGTCTCTTTCTTAGTTGACTTCTTTTTTGTTTGTTTTGAATTTTGAGAATTCTTTATGTATTTTAGATACAGGTCCCTTATCAGATATATGGTTTGCAAACATTTTCTGCAATTCTTTGTATTGCCTTTTCACTTTCTGATGGTGACCTTTTGTCTAATTTTTTCTAGTACACTCAAGTACATCTTTACATTGCACCTTGGTATAATTTAGAAATATGGGGTTTCTTTCCTTTTGTTATTGATCATGCTTCTTGGTCATCATCATTACTTTTAGCTCTTTTCTTCTTGCAAACATTTTTTTTTATTTAAAAATATTTTCCTCGTCTTATCATTCAGCTTTATTCCCAAGGCCACCAATTTCAGTGATGTTAGCCTTCTAGACTCATTTCTTCCTTCTCTTTTCATCTTTGTTTTCTCCATGCTCGTTCTGTTAGTTCTGCTTGCAAGAAATGTGTATGTGTAACCTCTACTACCACCAAAATAACACTATCTATCTGAAGTGATATTTGACATTTTTAGCAAAATTTATTTATAATTGAGTTCCTATGTCACCATTTCATTAATTGCAAGTTGTGACTACTTAGTGATTTTTTTTTTTTAATATATAGAAAGTTAAGCATAGAAAAATAATCTTTTGTTTTTGGTTTTAGAGGTCCAGAATTATTTCAGTAATTTTTCAACTTGATTAGGTGCTATTTTAAAAAATGTAGCTATTTATTTAACCTCAGTTTTTTTTTTTAATAAGTGAAGCTGTTAAACATGCCTATGCATATACAATAGTGTCATATTAGGTTGTTGGTTTTCAT